ATGATATGCTTTACACTGTTTTAGCCTAATATAGCCCTATTATTAAAAAAAAAGAAAAAAACAACTTTATTCTGAAAGTGTGGCGGCTATAATATTTGCCGTGGTGGTGCACTACGATCAGTTACATGTAGGGGAAACTGCACTGAGTGGTGAAGAACAGGCAGAAGCAGGAATGTCAGTTTGACACCTCTGTTCACAGCAAGATCCGATTCCTGACGACCTGCAGTGAACAGATACTGATCATTCCAGCAAGACAAGGTTGAGATTCCTGATTTGAATGCTGGGAAAATGACTTGAATTCCAAAAACAAGGTCCAGAAATCTGAAGATTACTGTGATGTGTGTGTGTGTGTCTGTGTGGCCTTGTTTCTCCTACATTGTGGGGAAAATTTCCCCAAAAAAGTGGCCTCATGGGGACCGAACGTGCATCCCCACRACTTCRGAGGCTGATTTTGGGTGGGTGGGTAGATTTAGGACTAAGGTGTGARTTGAGTTTAGGTTAATTCTAGGGTAAATGGTCAGGGTTAGGCTATAAAATTCCCAAAATATGAATGGAAGTCAATGGAAAGTTCCCACAAGGATAGAGAGACATAATAGGTGTGTGTGTGGATGGGTTTTTCCCACAACGTGGGGGAAATTTTCCTTTAAAAAACAGCCTCGTGGGGACCGAAGTGAATCGTGGGGACCACTGCCAGGTCCCCATGGGTCTAAATGCAAATTACTGGTGGGGTTAGGTTTAGGACCAAGSTTTAGGTTAGYTTTAGGGTCAGGCAGGTACCTGTGAGGTTAATTTTAGGGTAAATGGTCAGGGTTAGGTTATAAAGTCTAAAAAAGGAACGGAAGTCAATGGAAGGTCCCCATGGGATTCAAGAACAAACATGTGCGTGTGTGTGAGTGTGTGTNGTGTGTGTGTGTGTGTGTGTGTGTGTGTGTGTGTGTGTGTGTGTGTGTGTGTGTGCATGTTTGAGTGAGATAGTCATGAGAAACTCGGAGGGGCAGCTGTGTGTAGGTGGAGGATCAACACTGCCCAAGTACATATGTGTGTGTGAGTGTGTGTTTGAGATGTGGGGGTGTATGGTGAAACTCACTCTGTTACAGAATGAGTGGCGGCCTTCTCGTGGTAACGATAAACCAGCAGGGACTGGTTGACCCTGAACAGAGAGCCTCCCTGACGAAGAAGCTTGTAGAAGAAGAGCAGATCCTCCGGGACTCCCTGGTGACACAGAGGTGATATTTAAATCAAAGATCTACCGTCAGTCATCAGAGCGGTTTGGGTTTAGGCAAAGTATTAACTACTGAGGTTTATTTAGGTTGGGAATGTTTTGTTCCACTGTGGACATTTGCTCCAGAAGATGACAAAAACAGCACAAGCAAAGGGAAGATGATTGATGGGACGGGAGAACTGGCGTGTTTGATCACCAGATTTTTAAAGCACATTTTAAACTTTCACAAAACAAAAATGTCGATGGACGTGGCAAAAACAAACATATATTTACATGACTTGATGGGCCTGAGTCGGTGTTGTGGCACAGAAGAARCACTCACTACTGCACACATATTCTCATGCAATTGTATGACCAAGGAATAATCTGTAATGTATGATTTGTTTATTGGAAAAAACTTTCCAGATACTTTTTTTCTTACCACCAAACAGCCTTGATCTTTCAAAGAGTTTAGAAATTTTTGGTCCTCTTTGCTGAAAATGCAGAAGTGTGACATTTGCAACTCTTTTCAAAAGGACAAACAGTTAAACAGAAGATAATTTCTTCCAGAAGTATGTTCACACGTAAGTGTGTGAATACAAACACACACAGAGACACACACACAAACRTTTGTAATTCTATTCTTRTTAGGACTGTTCATTGACTTCTATTCATTTCCAATAGTTTCTACAGCCTAACCCTGACCACYWAYCCTAAAGCTAACCTCACAGGTACCTGCCTGACCCTAAAACTAACCTAAACTCAATTCACACCTTGGTCCTAAACCCAACCCCCAACCCAAAAATGGAGTTCCACCGTATTACGACTAGCCTGGTAAAAACCAGACCCTCTCCTTCACTTTGCTTCTGGACTCTTGGCTACAGAGAAGCGATTCTTGCAGGAGGCGTGGCYTCTGCTGAAGTGTGTATGTCGCTGTGAAGGAGGCTAAGCTAAGAAGCTAACCGGAAATTGCGTGTGCTGTAAACAACCCTACTGAGAGGAGAAATATACCGAGCTGAATGAGACGACTGTAAATGAGAGCTGCTGCTTTGTCAGACAAATAT